AATTCACGTGATGTGTGTACTGCTAGGCATCTGTGGTTTCCTCTTTTTGTGTAATTTGGATGGAAAATGTGTGCCTTTTTATTGTTTGAGTAACTTATCAAAAGTTGCTAAAAGTAGCCAAATAAAATTTTAAAATAGCTTAATTTGTTGCTAGGTGCTTTTGGAAGAAAAGGTTGCTAGGGTAGTCTGAAAAGTTGCTAAATTTAGCAACAAAATTGCTAAGTTGGCAACAATACATTCTGACATCTGATAGGAAACGTCCTATAGACCTATTGCAGATAAGCAAACACTAAAAAGAAATACTTCTTGCAGATGTCAAATAGACGTCTCTGTGATGTACTTGTGCAATCAGGGTTCATTGTCAATAATTTCTCTGAAATGCTGCTGTAACACATGGCAATCAGACGATTTCTTTTCTCCTGCGAGGGAATGTAGTTTCATCTTGGTGTTCAGTATTGTCATGTCCGTGCTCAGACTTTAAGCTGAAGCTGTTCCCTTGGATGTTTCAATTCAGGATCATCCAAAACCAACTGGACTGTCTGGAAGTGGGGCAAATTTTTATTGTTTGAGTAACTTATCAAAAGTTGCTAAAAGTAGCCAAATAAAATTTTAAAATAGCTTAATTTGTTGCTAGGTGCTTTTGGAAGAAAAGGTTGCTAGGGTAGTCTGAAAAGTTGCTAAATTTAGCAACAAAATTGCTAAGTTGGCAACAATACATTCTGACATCTGATAGGAAACGTCCTATAGACCTATTGCAGATAAGCAAACACTAAAAATAAATACTTCTTGCAGATGTCAAATAGACGTCTCTGTGATGTACTTGTGCAATCAGGGTTCAGAGGCAGGCGGGTATGTGTGCTGTCGGCGCAGGGAGGATGAGCCACCGGATGGTTCTTGGGACGAGGAGACAGTGGTCTGGAAAAAGGAAAACAGAAACTGAACCACACGTTCTTTACGATACACTGCGGCGCGGAGCATCGACAGAAGCGGTCACCTGACTGAGGTTGAGTGGTTGAGATCTGCTGGGCTCCTGCTGGTGGTCAGTGACGCGCTCTCCTGAGCTGCTCGGCTGCCTTGTTGCGGCGGCTCTCTTAGGCTTCATGTAGTAATGCTGTGCAAGACCTAAAACAAACGTGACGAATGCTTTTATAAAGAACTGTTGACCAAGCTACAGCGAATACAAATGGGACCACAGCTAATACTCGCCTACAGCCGATGGGATTTTGGCTGATATCGGGTTTTCCACAGGCTGTGCTTTCACAGATGGAGCCACCACTGCCAGGGATTTGGACAGTCGTGAGGACTGGACCCCCGCGTGACTGTTCTGGGGTTTGGGAGTCAGAGGACTGGCGGTGGAGGAGTCCGAATCGTGAACGGTCAGACAGCTGATCACATTAGTCCTGTGGCAAAAAAAAGTAGATTTTTAGGGAACATCTGTGGAATTTCACATGGATGAAATGACTTAAATATGGAAAAATTATATATTGGTTTTATAATTAACACTACATTCTTATTGCCAGACTTCAGTTCAGACTTCAGTGTGGTTTACAGAAATATGGAGCTACTTTACATTGTGAAAAGAGACATTGTCAGACTATAACTTGTTTTGCATTAATGCATACATTCCCATTCAAAAGTTTGAGGTTGAAAAGATGTTTCTGAAAGAAGTCTCTTCTGCTCACCAAAAAATACAGTATATCAGAAATATGGTGAAATATTACATAATTTAAAATAACCATTTTTTATTTTAATATATTTTAAAATAATTTTTTTCCTGTGATGCCAAGCTGAATTTTCAGCATCGTTACTCCCGTGTCACATGATCGTTCAGAAATCTAATACGCTAATTTGCTGCTCGAGAAACATTTTTGATGATCAGTGTTGAAAACAGTTGCGCTGATTCATATTTTTGTGATCCTGTGATGCCAAGCTGAATTTTCAGCATCGTTACTCCCGTGTCACATGATCGTTCAGAAATCGAATACGCTAATTTGCTGCTCGAGAAACATTTTTGATGATCAGTGTTGAAAACAGTTGCGCTGATTCATATTTTTGTGAAAACTGGGATATATCTTCTTTTTTTTTTTTCCAGGATTCTTTGAAAAATATAAAGTTTAATGAACAGTTTAATGAAATATACATTTTTGTAACATTATAAAATGTCTAGGCAGTCACTTTTGATCAATTTATGGCATCCTTGCGGAATAAAAGTATTATTTATGGAAATCTTACCGACCTCAAACTTTTTGTTGTGTATGTGAAAACATGGCGATCATACCAGGTAGTAAGCTCACTCACCTAGCAGGGTGGAACTTCCTCTCGTCCTCATCTTCAGAGTCACTATGTATGGTGATGACACTGACAGCAGGACTCGGGGTGTCGGAGATAATGATGGGCTGAGTGAGAATAGCACTGAATGACTGAGAGCCCACCAGAGCACTGCTGTGAATACAGAAATAGACAGACAGTAAATCTAAAGATTTTTCACCCTCAAAAAGCATCTGGACACCTAATGTACATCCTCGCATTAGTGTATCAAATCATGTTATTTGATTTTATTTTTTTTAAATAGTTCAAGCACACAAAGCAAAAAAAAACTGTTCGGAATAATAAAACTAAATTAACATACCATTGAAATATTTGAGTGTCAAAAGTAAATGGCCCAATACCTGCTGCCAGTGTCACAACAGACCCTGCTCCTCTTGTTCTGAGACCGTGTGACTGTGGACGTTCCTCGACTGAGAGACTGAGTAAGATTGAGGCCGCCGAGGATGTGTGGGTTCTGCTGGACGACGCCATTGTGCTGACCGCTCCGAGAAGCCCTGCAGGAAACAACCATCCAATCAGTATTGAGCACATTCAAACATCTACCATACTATAATGAAAGTTTACGGTTCTTCCTAAACATTCACCTCCAGCTTGAAGTTTGCTGTGTAGAGTTCTCGGACAGTAGGGTCTCCAGAGGCGGTTCGGTCACTACGGGCTGGTGGCTGGAGTTGTGGATGGTCATGCCAGGCACCTGCTGCCACGCGGAGGGTATGAGGATCTGCTGGGTTCCCGCTGGCCAGGCCTGCTGGAGGATGACAAAATATTTGCCTTAGTGACACTGGCACTTGGAAAAATGCTTAAACACTTGTACATAGTGTACAACTGATTGTCAATCAAATTTGAAATAAGTTTCACTGGCAAATGAATCTTAGGTAAAAACAGCTATGACCAAACCTGCACCACACAATGAGTGACAATGATGCATATATGGCCATTTAATTCTGAATTAAACATTTGTGCCATGCCAGAATGATCAAGAACTTCAACTAACATGCTGATGTGACATCACAGCACTGCAGAAAATACTACTAAATGAATAAAATAATCCATCAATGCACAAAAAAAAATATGCAATTCTCTCCCGGAGCATTAGACGGCTTTAGATGTAGCGCAGCCATTTCGTATGATTTTAAAAGCCAAGACAAGCACAGCATGCATAAATCATACACGAGCATTAAAAATTAAAGATGGGGGCAGGAAAGAGTAGTCCGGCAACCTGCTGGGAAAAATCATGGCTGTTAAATAGTCAGAAAACAATCAGCGTTTCCACAGAGCAAAACTGGCCAAAAGATCTGCCATGCCAGTATGGGCAGCACTAGAG